TCCCCACAGATCGTTATAGACATTATTGATATACGATCAAAGATCATGCATCAAAAATATATGATCTACTTGATTATTGTCTTTCTTGAGTATTGAGTAAAACGATAGTGAAGCAATGTGTCCAAAAATAGATTGAATAAAACAATTTCCTTGTGATTAGCCAGAGCAGCTACATCGTGTTTCACATTTTAATCCCGTAGGGATTGCGCTAACAGCTTTTTTAAGTAATTATATATATTACTCCCGGAAAACAATAGTTTCCGCCCGTATTTCAAATATATTGTTACTATAATAACATTTTTTTAAAACGAATTACATATTCTGAAAGCCCGTGGAGTTTTTTATAATTTTGTATATTATGTTGTAATTTATACTTGGTCATTAGAAAAATAAATCCAGTTGAATGAAGGCATACTCATGTCCAGATTCCTGAAAACAAAATTTTGTTACTATCATGAAAATTAGTTTTTAAACTTTTTTATTATTGCAGCAATATCTTTTTAAATAAATGGGGAAACCTCGGATTTAAATCCGAGTGTTATGCGTACTTCAAAAAGTGAACTGGACAGATGAGTTATCCTAGCACGTGTAGGCATCAAAATTATCCTAGCGAGCCCCTTCTATTAAAACTTGATTTGTATCGTTTACTGCTCAACCAATAGGATTTCGAGGCAAGTGGNCATACAAAAATTCAGAAGTTTTTCTCAATCCTATAAGAACTTCGAAAATATCCTGAAAAAGTCTATTTTGTCGTCTTTTATCAAAATGTCGGTCGGTGGCATTTTATGCGGCAACAAGCAATCGCTCTGATATTTCTACTGGTGATAGAGCACATCAAGTTCTACCACCTAGGGTATCTCATAATTTTGTCCCTTGAGAAAAGTAAAGCACTTTTGATTAAAACTTTCTTCTCTCATTCATATCAGGGTAGTACCACCAAAACATCTCCCACGTTTACAGTGATCTTGAGCAGTCAAGCTCAAACTTTCAGTAATTGAAGACCTCAACACCCTAAGACCTTTGGTGAGAAAATCCTACGGACTTTCAATTGACATCATGGACTTTTCAGACCACCTAATATCACTTTTTGCCATGTTTAGACTGTTTCTTGATTTTTTTTCTCATTTTGGGATATTGACTTTTTTTTTGTAACTATAAACCATAATTGGAAATTCATACATATGTGTATAGTACTGAGTTAGTAAATTAGGTATATAACTATATCAGCTCATTCGTATCACTGATATACGGATTGACCCGATACGAGATTATACAAAAAATTCAAAAATAGCAAAAGTAGCCAATTTTAGGGTATACCGTTCTCCATCACAATACGATAATTATCTCTCAATTTTAGTTAGGTTAAATACATATATCCAATGTCTACTTAAGAATATAATAACCATAGAATCAATGGGTTTCTATTGGTAAATAGATAATACGGACTGTTACCCTACATTCACGTAAAGTGAAAAAATGACATTTTGTGGCCAACATTTCTCACCTATGCAGGATTCTACAGAATATAGGACAATAGTGTGTTGATGTACTGATCGTAGTCTATATCCTAATATGGTTACTTCATCCCCCAGCTTAACCCTTCTTGAAATACAAATATTTGAATAAGTCCAGTTTTCAGTTTGAGTGTACCTTGAACTTTAAACCAGGCATATAAAAGTATCATTGATTCGGATGAAACCTTCAGTGTTTGTAGAGCTTTCAGCGGTAACTATTTTGGTAGAAAAAAGTTTTCAAAAAGCTTTTGTTTTAATGGAGAAGGACCCAAAATACTATAAGCAGCAAAAGTGAAAAGTCTCCAAAACGGGTCTTTTTTCGTATAATCGCGTATCGGGTCAATCCGTATATCAGTGATACGAATGAGCTGATATAGTTACATACCTAATTTACTAACTCAGTACTATACACATATGTATGAATTTCCAATTATGGTTTATAGTTACAAAAAAAAGTCAATACCCCAAAATAAGAAAAAAATCAAGAAACAGTCTAAACATGGCAAAAAGTAATATTAGGTGGTCTGAACAATCCATGATGCCAATTGAAAGTCCGTAGGATTTTTTCACCAAAGGTCTTAGGGTGTTGAGGTCTTCAATTACTGAAAGTTTGAGCTTGACTGCTCAAGATCACTGTAAACGTGGAAGATGTTTTGGTGGTACTACCCTGATATGAATGAGAGAAGAAAGTTTTAATCAAAAATGCTTTACTTTTCTCAAGGGACAAAATTATGAGATACCCTAGGTGGTAGAACTTGATGTGCTCTATCACCAGTAGAAATATCAGAGCGATTGCTTGTTGCCGCATAAAATGCCACCGACCGACATTTTGATAAAAGACGACAAAATAGACTTTTTCAGGATATTTTCGAAGTTCTTATAGGATTGAGAAAAACTTCTGAATTTTTGTATGCAGAAGGACAATACCTCAATAGTTATAGTTAGAAAAACGAGAAGTCAAAAGTCTCACAGATTGAAATACAAAAGTCACTTTTACTAAAGAAAATCACCCAAAAATCGGTTACAAAATCAATATTAAAAATTATCAAAAATCAGCCAGTATTTCGATTGTTTGTATTGGAAAAAGTGATCCGATCGGGCTAAAAATTTCAGAAAATACTAAATTCACTATTCTCTATAACATATAAAAAAATCAGCGAATTTTGAAATGTCACACCATCGTCGATGTCTGAGTCTCTCAGACACTTACTTTTAATAGTTTTATTTAAAGAAATCCAGAACTCATTTTAAGGTTAAATAGATGATATATGACCAATAGGTAACTTGCTGAGTATCATTTGACAAGATTTAATTAAATATGAATTCAATTCATAACATGATGTGAAGCAAAATTATAATTATATGGAAAAATATGAGAAAATGATTAGTAGTATTCAAAAAAAAAAAGGTTAAAAAGGATCGTAGAAAAACAAGATCGACACATTATCAAACTTTTTTATTGATATTTCTACAGAACGTTAGTGGTACAAACTTATCAATCCTTTAGATCTTTTATTGAAAAAATTTTCTGAAAAAGATGGAAAATGAAAATATTCATTCAATATTAGAGGTATAAACCGATCGACTGTCGAGGGTACGTTCCGAAGTGTTCGATGGCTTTTTCATCGAAACTATATTCATGTGAGAGGTCACTGTGAGTAGTGTAAAATCCTGCAAGGGTTTGGTTGCCTGAGGCTCTATTCTTGAAACGTCGAAATTTTATTGTTTTTTTAACAGAAAACTGTGACTTCCCACACGTCACCATGAAAATCAAATTTCGAATGGAAACTTTGCACAAATGAAGCTCTCAATGACAAGAGCTCATTGTAAAAATTTCACTAATTTAAGTATTTGATATTCTGATATATTAGCATAGAAAAGTGATTACTTTTTTATTAGAAGATTTCTTAGCACTTATATTTCAGAGTCAAAAATTCAAAAAGCAGTTAAATTTTCACTATGGGTTTGTGTCATTGAGAGCTTCATTAGCGCAAAATTTCCTTTCGATATTCAATTGTCATAGTGACCTGAGGGGCATCACAACTTTCTGTTAAAAATGTATTAAAAATTCAATATCTCAAGAACAGAACCTCGGGACAATCGAACTCTCTAAGGCTTTCATACTACTCGTCATGGCCTCACACTTGAAGTGTAATTTTGATCAAAAAGCAATCGAACACTTGAAGACATTCCATCATAAGCCGCCATCAGAAACAAAAATAGATATTTCTACGACATGTAGCAGAAACTCATATGATTTTTCTAGCAAACTATTAATAGAATGATATGAATTAAGATCAGTGATTAAATTTTTTTCCTGATTAAAAACCATCAATTTCTTCTGAAGCTGATTTTGGTGTTAAGTTATAAATTTTTGCTTTTTTGAATGCATGAATCGAATCAACAGCATCCAATTTTCAAGTTCAAATCTTTTAAACAAATTTTACATTCTATTTCCAACAATAAGAATTTAATTACTTCAGCTTGTTTCTTCGAAAAGTTATTCAGAAAATTCTTATTTCTGTTCTATTCAACAGTAATAGAGGTTCTAATATTATTGACAATAGGTAGACCGCTCATAGTGATGCATTGAAATAAGATTTTCTTGACCATCATATTCGTTGCAGACTTTTGTAAAAAGAATCAAGTTTTTCAGCATTATAATGCAGTATGACATTTCAGCTACTTCTCTCCTTGATAATGTCAATTAGATTCATTCAACATAATTCATTAGAGTGAAACATTGATTTGATTACTGATTAATTAAAAGATTGGCATGGAAAATAACCTTTACGTTACAAAGTATCCGATAACGATAACTTCCTACACATATTTAGAGAATAAGAAATCATATGTAATTATGCAACCATGTGTGAAATCATATGGATCATATAAAGATGATTTTTGGTTTGATTGTTTCTCTGAGTATGATTCCTTATTCTCTAACGTAATCAGTAATTAAATAAACGTATGTTTGTTATAAAAGATATATCATAAATCCAATTAATATTAACAGTGAGAGAAATAGCTAAAATGTTATTATGCATTAGTGTGCTGAAAAACTTAATATTTCACAAAAATTTGTGGCAAATTCAATTGTAGAGACAAGTTGTTATATAGATAAAAACTAGTGTCAATATCGACGGATCAGTATAATACTGGTATTGGTGTATCCATGAATACATACTAGTGTGAATGAAAGATTATCACTCTGACAAGTATTTTGATATTTAAAGTAGGATTCATTTGTTATGCATCTATATAAAATTAAAATAAAATTTAATCTATTTCGTGTTCTGTTTTTTTAAAGTAAATTGAATCTTTGTTCTTTCAATAAATGCTTTATTTATATTGGTTTTTTTTTCTTGGGAAAGTTATACAAATACAAGAATTTTATCTCTACCAACACCAAGACATATCAATAAATAAAATAAAGATTATAAGAGTGTCATTGCTAAAAAAAAGAAAGGAATTTTTTTTGAAGTTTTATGTTTCACTATGATCATTAGTGAATTGTACTCCATACTGTTGATTACGATCCATTGTGTCTGTTGTAATACCGATAAATGGTGACGTAATAGATGGAGGAACATTTGGTGGTGGTGATTGTTTTAAATGAGTCTTAAATTGTATACCAGCAAATACTAATAAACCCACATAAAGAAATGCTGCAATCCAACAATTATATGCACGTTGATGAAAAGCTGTTTTAAGACCTTCTTCAAATACTTTTATATCAGTTGCGTTTTTATCGTCAAACTCGAAATCATCTATGAGTGGGGCTGCTTGGATAAAAAAAAATATACCCAATAATATAAATTGTATTATACCCCACACTGATATAATCGAACAACATAAGGATAATTTTGGTCCACAAATAGGCCACTTCATTATTGCACAAAAAAATAAGTACGATAGATTATCTTAAATAAAAAAGAAATGAATAATATGCCATAGAAATTCTACTGAAAAATATAATAAATCTTGTAAAATTGAATACCTATAAAAAAAAATAACGTAGTCGTGATGTGTGTTGAAAATAAGTAAGAGAAAAAAAAAATCTTCGTCATCATTCGAGATAAAGATAAGAACATTAAAAGTAAACATTTTTTTACGACCGTTAGGCAAATGAAAATTATCTTGGCTTTGATATGAAGTCATTTTTGTGTTTTGAATTTATGAGAAATTTTCAAATATAAATCTGAAGATTTCGATTCACTGAAAATGTCAATTAGACGACAATAATTATGACATATACAAAACATGTCTGACACTACTCAGAAAGGAAAATGATTTATTTTCAATTCTCAACTTGTCGTAAAAGAATTTGAATGTATATATTTGAATGACACCAAAAGATTTATAAACAGTGGCAGATTTAAAGGAGAGGCACTAGGAGCAATTGTTCCTCTCTTGCAAAATATTTTTCTCACGGAGTAAGTCCTGAAACCGTTCAATCGAGACTATGTGCATTAATGTAGACCTCAATGGGTACTCTGGGAATAGTGCTTGTCCTTAATTTATTGCTACGGAGAAACTGATTTTCGATTTGAAATTTTGCATAGAATACATTTTAAGGAGAATAATTTTTTTATGAACGTTTCAGATCTTGTCGTTTTTCGTATTCTAAGATACAATTATAATAATAAAACATGTCTTTTATATCACACATATAAAGCAACAGATTTGAAACTATTCTTGTTAAAGTCTGTGATATGCAAAGGTTCAAGTCAAAATTCGAAAATCAGTTTTTCTGTTACTTTAACATTAATTTAAAAAATACCATATAAGTGCAGTGTCTCCATAACAAAAAGTTGAGAGCATGAACCCTTTTCAGAGTATTCATAGCTCATTTTAATCTATATAATGCACATAGTCTTGACTTATATGCGATTAGATAGTTGAACGGTTTCCTTCGTCATTAGACAACGCTCAAAAATAAGCCGATACGATCGCTTATCGATTTGGCAACATGTTTTATAAACGATGATCAGTTCCATTTTTTCTAATCCTACACTCGCGGCTATTCGTAGATTGAATTGGTTATTTAAAATCTACAATAGATAAGTTTTTATTGGAAACAAAGTTTATTTCTGATATCATCTATAGATACTCGAGTCCAACAGAACTGTTTTGGAAAGCTCTAAAATATACTATCTAGCAAGAATACATCACGATTGTCATTTACTTTTACCGTTATCTCTATGATGCTTCTTTGAAATTAGAGAACATCTATTTTCCTCAGAAACTAAAACAATAATAAAATAACTTGGAAAAAATAATTGACTGTCATATAAAAATGTTAAATTAAAAATCTAGATATTTTATAATATTTTTCTAATAGAAAACTAATCATTTGATGGAAAGATATTTTTGTTTTTGAAAAATATATATTTAAAATTAATAATTCTTGTGTTTGAAATTTCGAATGTGTGCTTATTGTTTACCATGAGGGATAGCAATTTTTGATAATGATTGAAATTGAATAGACCTTGAATGACAAAATAATAATAATAATAATCAAAAAGAAATGGACGTAGGAAAAAAATATGATGAATATCAGTTTTGTTGATATGATAGAAATGAATATAGGTAAAAATTTTTCTCCTTTTTTTTTGTTAAACGAACAACGTATGACACACAATAATAATCATTTTTCAATCATTGGATACGTCACTCATTCACCACCAATTAGAGAACTATGAATACGAATCGATAAATATAGTAATGTAAATCAGCGCCATCTAAAATTTTATTAAATTACATTATTTTTTTCTTCATTTTGAAAAGAAACTGCAGATCATAGATGACAGAGAAACGATGCCTGGCTAGGCTCAAACATTTGTCTCTTATTCCATCAGATTGATAGATTTATGTAATACATCGAAATTCTTGTACAAGGGTCAAAATTTAATTACCGTCAAATAGTAGTAGACTTAGAAAATGTTCTAGAGGAAATGTGAAGTTTTCTGTGATTAAATGTTGGGTCCAATATTGTCAATAACTCGAAGTAGTACTCCTTTATTACAACTGTACAGAAAACTCAAATTAGATAAAATAAAAGCTACCGAAAGTTTTCTCCACCTTCAGTTGCTAAACTGAGATGTCTAGTTTACATTGTCCACATAGTGAGCAAATTCACAATGAAATTCCATTTTTTTTTGGGTGAACACTGCTGTTTCACCGTTATTCCGTTTTTTTTTCAGTGAAACAGATCGAAAACTCGTGTTTCAAAAATTAATCACAAATAAATGTTGGTGTATTTGTTTTAGTGCAAAGTTTTTGAAGCAAGGTGCGACTTTTTTTTCTTGAATCGTACTAACTCTATACAGTGCAAAATGTGAGTTGGAAAAATTATGTTTCTTCTAAAGAACGATAATATAAATTGTCCTACAGATGAAATCGGTCTAAGTAAGTCCGACCCATCATCGGCAGACCAATCGGTCTGAAATCCATATTGATACTGGACGAACGAGTTGTCAGACTATTCTATCTGTGGATAATAATATCTGCTGTAGTCAACTTTCAACAAAGTTTTCTTTATATATCCTCTATGAGATAATAAGAGAAAAATAAATAAATAAGACACATCGGTATCGGCTCCATCTTTGATTAATCCTTTTCTCGCCTATGCAAGATACCTTATATGAAGTAATGCACTATTTCAATAAAAATACGTCTAGAAAAGAATTGATTCGATTTTTTATATACATAAGAATAACAATATGCACGTATTGAATGATGCATAAGAATCAAAAAGTTGTTCATCTATAATATAGATTGACTCGATGCCTCTTATGTGCATTGGATAGTTGGTTATCACAGAACGGTAAATAATCATTCTGTAACTTATTCATTTTCATCATTAAATTAAGATTAAAAAAAAGTATGGATTTGACCTTTAATGAAACCCTTCTGAAACTTTACGTTTAAGATGAAGAGTTTCGAAAATTTGATAGAAAGATAAAACACAAAGTTAATCAATATCGTGTGTATTTTTTTCAAGCATCACGACAAATAGGATTATATACGGAAATGGAATCATTGTAAAGAAGTATGAACTAATGAAAAAAATAATAAATAACTAACGCAAAGTCTCATAATGAGATGTCGTGGATTAAATCTCACGTTAGATGTTAAAAAAGCCAGCTCAACTAACATATTCTCTTTTTCTTTTTTGAGAATAACCGAACTTATCTTTGTTGGAAAAAGAAAGACAGTCGTATAACGCAGTGTAGGATGATAGAATATTATATGATTAATATGTAATTCAATCGAATTTATCGGTTCACAATTTCAAGCTAATTTCACTATTTCTTGTATCAGTTTACTTTCGCTTTAATTGTCTGCTTATCCATGCTATAGATGACCGAGAACTGATCAATACACAACAAATCAGTTCAGCTAATTTTCAATTGACTATTGACGCTGCCTTCATAATTTAGTATAGGCTGGGCAAAAAATTCTGGGACACCTAACGTCAATCTATCCTTACTTAGAGCGGATCTTGGTCCAGATACATGGGAATCGCATGAAATTTTCAGAATGTATTGATGCTATAGTGAAGAGACTACGGTAAAATTTTCAGTCCTATATCATGACGTTTGAGGCAGATATTCATTAATTAAGGATTAGGCATAGTTCATTAGGTAACTCAAAATCCTTTGTGTGCCTTCATCGTATTCATTCAATTTTTTTTGTATTGGAAAGAGCATGTCAGAATGTAGAGCTTGATAGAGTGCTTTTTAAAATTTTTGCTTTTAAAGCAGAGAAAATGAATAACAAATTCATTAATCCAAAAAACCTAGAGAAAAATGCGTTTTTTTGCATTAATGAACTTGTTATCCATTTTCTCTGCTTTAAAAGCAAAAATTTTAAAAAGCACTCTATCAGGCTCTACACTGTAAAAGAAAGGTACTTTACCGAACCTTAAAAAAGGTTCAGTAGATGACAAAAAGCTTGCAAATGTGCTCAAAGTTTCAAAGAGAGAATAAAAAAATCCACGGAACCTTTAAAGGATCTTCCCCTGGACACACGGGAAGAACCTTTTTTNGCATTGCTTAGCAGCAAGAGGAAATTTTTGAACCATAGTTAACCATACACAAATTTGAGTTCAAAAGTGTCTCATTTTGTAGTTGAGCAAATGATGTTTTTGTAGTATCCCATACCTTTAATATTACAAGAGAAGAACCAATGCTAATTTTACAAAGAACATATCAATACAATCTACACAAAATTCTCTATCTTTTGACATCAGAACGAAATCTTCTCATAGAGTCTAACTTTAAAAAACAGCTTATCAAAAGCCGGCAATTTCTTCTGCGTCACCCGTTATTTTGAATCTTTATGTGGTCCACACTTACATTCACACCCAACGAAAAAGTTTGCAATGTAATTTAAATGCATTTCAGCAGGAGAAGGTCGTACCTGATTGTTGTTTGATATTTATCAGCTAAACTTATTCATCAAAGCTAAAGTATGTCCATGTCTGCTGTAGTAAAATAGAGCGAGTTTAATTGGACGAATGAGCCCGTTTTGTACTACCTTTCTTTACTATGTAGAAGCACGGTATTAATAAAAAATGACAGTCAAGCTATCGAAATGAATCACACAATGTAGGAACGAGAAAGCGCAAAGAAAATCAGCGAAGCAAATAATGTATTACACGTGGCAATGTATATGATTATTTTACACCGTCAATTCGCCTTCATCGAATATCTCAGTCGTATGTTTCATAAAAATGAGTATAGTGTGATCAAAATTACAAAGAATGGATGTCTATTGTCATAATATTATTTTTACACGAGTTTCCAATTGTTAATCAGCATTTTATCTATTTGAATTTCTGTTTCTTGTATTTATCAAAATGCCTGCCGATTCCGTTCCAGTACTCTTGAATCGTGATAATGATGGTAAGGTCAATTTTTTTATATTCAGTAGTTTCATCGGTCTAAATGACCACCTGTAAACTTTAACATTAGCAAAAACTGATTTCATCCTTTTTTATTGAATATTTCGATTGTTGTTCGAAAATGCGTAACGCGATAAACCTGGCCTACCTTAAAGATCAACAATGGTTGATGTAAAAAAAAGTTTTTTTTTCGTTATAGGTTCATCATCAGATAGATTATTAGTTGGGACGGAGATCAATCCTCTATTGGTAGCAACTATTACCACAGCCGATACTAATCAGAGTTTCCGTGAAGGAAATATGCAGCAAGTCAGTGAAAGTACAGCTCATCCTCGAACAAAATACAGCAAGACAATAAAAGTATCTATTCTTGTATTGTTGGTGCTCTTGGTGATCGCTGTCATTATCATATCTGTCGTCATTGTTTCTCATATTAAGTCGAATAAAACTCAAGCATCAGTCGATACAAGTTCAGCAGGTAGGAGTTGCAATGATACTGAATGTTTACTCAAGACAGCTTAATCAATGTATATTTGTATTGTGCAAAGAACTTTTTTTTCGACAAACAGCACTGTAGCATTACATGATTCATCTAGGAGCATTCATTAGGCGAAGCAGATGTACCGAGTATAGAGTCAATCCAATAAGGTTATTCTTACAAGCAGTACGTGAAATAGGTTCTAGAAGGAGAACATCTCTTGATAAGAATCATGAACAACCAATGAGAATGCTTTTTACTTTTTTAGTTAAATCTCAATCTGACAACACCACCATTCAACAATCAACAAAGAAAGTGCTATTCGTTATCGTCGATGGTATTCCTGCTGATGTCATTGAGGCTGTTTCGACTATACACATTCAAAAGATTATCAACGTTGGACAATATAAAAGGGCTTATGTAGGAGGAACCATTGGCACATATTCGGAAACACCAACGATTTCTGCGCCAGGTTACATGAATCTCATTACCGGTACATGGGCTAACAAGCACAATGTCTTCGATAATGATGTTAAAAATCCTAACTATCATTATAAGAATATTTTTAGATTGCTAAAAGAACAAGAACCACAGAAAAAGATTGCTATCTTCTCAACTTGGACAGACAATCGTATCAAACTTGTTGGTGAGGGATTATCACACGCAGGTGGGGTTTCTTTCGATTATAGATTCGATGGATATGAACTCGATCAGATTGCTTATCCACACGATTCAGAAGATTATTACATCTATCATATCGATGAGCGTGTGATTAATGAAACTGCTGCGTGTATACGAACATCTGCACCTGATCTATCATGGGTTTATTTACAATATACCGATGATGTCGCACATATGTTTGGCGACAGCGATCAATTCAATCAAAGCATTCTTAACTTTGATAATCAGATCAAACGCATCTGGGAAACGGTTGAGTATCGACAGAAGACATTCAGTGAGGATTGGTTAGTGATTATTACAACCGATCATGGTCGAGATCCAAATACAGGGAAAGACCATGGAAAACAGTCCGATCGAGAACGTACGACTTGGATAGTAATCAACAAGCACGATACCAATGATTATTTTCGTGATTTTCAACCGGGTATCGTTGATCTATTACCGACGATGACACGATTTCTAGGTATATCTGTTCCATTAGAATCGGTTCGAGAGCTCGACGGAGTTCCGTTGATTGGAAATATTTCGTTAGCTAAGCTTCAAGTAAACTTGCTTGGTGATCGTATCGAGTTTACTTGGAAAGCATTCGATCATGTTGGCAACGTAACAATATGGCTTTCGACTACTAATTCATTCAAGAACGGAATAACCGATGATTATCAAATGATAGGAACAATAGCAATCGATAAGGAAGCAGCTATGATTGATATACAGAACTATCCATCGAATTTCTACAAGGTTGTGCTAGCAGGTCGACATAATATGGTCAACAAGTGGCTTTTTCGACCAGGCTACAATTATTCACAAGTCAATACATAAACGTTTTCATGCTGAATTATGCAGAAGTCTAGACAATATTTACTACTGCTACGACGATCTTCAAATAGCCTTAAGAATATAGATCATTTTTGCTTTGCTTTTTTGACGATTGAACTACTCTATATTTTGATAATTCTGGATAAATGATGTTTGGGTGTGGGTGAGAGTAGATAGGTGATTGGGAATGAGTATGGATGAAGAGAAGACCCGTGCCCGACATCTACATCTTTCTGTCGACAATGAATCGATCGAAAATCTTTTATCGAAATAACATCAGTCAACATGCGTATTTCAAAGTAATATTTTTGTCAAAGAAATCATTTATCAAAACAAGTTCAACACAATAAGTCAATCATTTTCGAGCAAATACTTCCATATCTCGCTCTCAGGAAAATTTTTTCTGCATTGATTGCTGCTCATATAAAAAAATTTTAATTCAGATATTTTCACCGAGTATCGCTTTTTCTCTAATGATACATTAGTTTTATTGACCAGCTGATCATCACACGTTCTGTGATCTCAATATTTAAATTCAATTTTCGAATTGAACATCAATCGATCATCAGTAGTAGTATGAAAACGAATACATGACTAAACATTTTGATAAAGAGTCGTTCGAGAACACTTCTTTTTGACAAATCAAATCGAATTGTTTTTATTTAACACATTCGACCCGATTCAGTTTTCTTAAAAAAAATTTTCGAGATGTTTATTTTCATGGGGATTTTACTTCTAATAAATGCACTTAATGACCTTTTCGTTATCTTCTACTGATTATCTGTCGTTCTCTTCTTTATATCACTCCATAATGAGTCATTTTTTTCTGACCAACTGAATAAGCGCTCAAGTTACTATTTCGTTCTTTTTCGTATTATACGAAGCATGTGTGAGAAAAGGATGGAAGTTTCCAGCTTTTTCTCCCTTATTCTTTTCTCTCTATCCTTTTGTATATAAATACGACCGCACTTTTGGAACAGTTCACATGTCGTTCGAAGAAATCGATACAGAAGATAGCGTTAGCTCACTCAGTGAAGTGAGTTCACTGAATGACGATTTTAATACAATGCACCTTGAATCTGGCAGTTCTGACGGAGAAGTTACTGATGATGACATGGATTCAAATGCTTGGAATGAAATAGAATCACAATCCGATGCAGAATTCCTCGAGGATCATGGACTCATTGAAGAAGTAACTTCTGCTTCGGAAGATAATACAATCAATCCTATTGATTGCTATCGGCATTTTATCACGGACAAAATTACTCACCTCATGGTTCGTGAAACTAATCTATACGCGTAGCAATACTTGCAAAATCATGAGATTAGTAAACGGTCAATATCTCATCAATGGAAACCAACCACTCACGAAGAGATGCTCAAGTTCTTTGGGATCGTTATCGAAATGGAGTTGATACAAATGCCAAAACTGAAGTACTACTGGAGCAGTAGTCAGTTGTNCGATGCTCAAAAAGTGAACATTTGAATCTTTTTATTTCGTGTATTTTTTATTTGTCATCTTTCATTTTTCAAGTGCAAAGTAGCGGTTCGCAGTAGCCATATATTACCGGCTTTGTTCGATGTCAAAACTCAACAGCGAAATAAAGAAAATATTTTATACTATCATGCTGTATCGAATGTTATTCAATTATTAATAGAAGATTACATATTTTTATATTCATACATTTAATTATTGTAGTTTACTAATAAATATTTTGATTGACGAATCATTTTGTACGTTTAGAAGGAGAAAGAAAATGAAATCAGGTGATATTGTAACTTATCACGATTAATTTCTAGACATTAGCAGTAATCTGTGACAGTTTTTCTTCTTTAAAATGTCTATTGCATTAACAGAATATACTTATTACAATTCGCATGAATCTAGTAAATTAAAGCAGCAATTATTTGTTAGAATCACTAGATTTACTGATCAAATATCAAATAAATAAATTTAAAAAACGCTATATTATTTATCTATAAAACGCAAAAATAAAAAAATAAACAGGTCGAGTCTTGGTCAATTAATCGTAACATAAACTTCAATAGTTAATTATTACTTTAACTACAAAGCTATTCAAGATATAAAAATAGATCTTGATAAGCTCTATTAAATAAGTTAATATTAATTTTAGCTTGATAAAATTTTTGTGTCGATGAGTCGAAAATATTTTCTCAAAGGAGTTTAATAGTACTCGAATCCATATAAATATTTTTTACCGCGAAACCTCAAGGATATACACGACCAGATGTAGCTTACATGAAATATTTTTTACATTAAGATGGACTTTATTTCAGAAATGCGTATCGATCCCATCATCATTCAAATCTCGTTTTCAGTCGGTGACTTTTTTGCATCTGGATACAAAATATAATGATATTTATCTTGAAAATTGTCAAGAGATACAATTGTAGACAAAGGTCTCATTTCTACTCAATCTCAGTCTCCATAAATGCTAGTGACCTGGAAACATGTGTGAACATGCTCTGCCACTAATGTAGATCAAAAGTATAATTGTACCTCGATTGTGTAAGAATGAAGAGAATTATTATGTATTACGTTTCTTTTGCATGAAAGTTTTCAAACTGAGAAAAGACAATACATTGAATTTTGCCTTGATCTTCATTGAATACATTACTAATCCTAGACAGACAAGTAAATTGGAAAAACGTTATTCAAGAATCATGATTCTCAACTGTTAAAACAGTACGGCATGACTCCAGACACATGTTTAAGCTACTCAAAAACATTGAGTTGTTTTACTAGTTTTTCTCGTTTAAAATAATAAAGTTTACACGTCTGTAGCTATTTAAAAACTATTTGGTGGACATATCAAGCAGTTTTAACAATGTGGGAGTGAATGTTAGTGTGGGTATTGGTCCCCTGTTTAGTGACCACTACACACACATCCAAACTCATTCACACCTACACCTCGTACATGTAAACATGCACCCACACCCACATCCCGACTTCAAAGATGTTTTCAACACCGACACATCTACATACAAAATATCATACAGGAGGAAGATAAAAATTTGTCCATTTTGTATTCGTTATATATCGATATGCTACTGTATCGGTTGTTTCACGGATAATTTTTTTGCGTGATGCACACAGCTGCACAAGGGCGGTTGCAAGCTTTGATCACGTAGAAATAACTCACGACGTAATATGAATACTATGAATAGGGGCAGACTGGAGTATAATTTTAAAAACATAGAAAATCTTGCAAAAAATAACATATTTGTGCATCGATCTCTACGTAGAGAAAAATGTGTTATTAATGAGATAAATTCGTTTTTTTCTCGCTGTTTATTTTTCATTTCTGATGCACATCAAAGACGCGTTATAATGCAAGGACTCGACAGTTACGGTCGACTGATCTTCGTCAAGAAAGAGAAAAAGAGAGAGAGAAATATTTTATGGAAGCTCATTTCTTTCGTTTATTAATTGATATTTAAAAACGAGAGAGGTAACCTATACAATCATTCAATTTCATATTCACAGTCTATCCACTACACATATTCATTTATACGCGATTCATTTTCACTGGTAGATAATGGCTCACAGTGCAAAGCTATTTTGGCTTCTTTTAGTGACTGCTTTAGTGATCACATTTAGTACAGTGTGGGCAGTGCCACACCAGTTAGAATATAATTTCTATGATACCGAGCCCAAGCTCAGTTTGCGTCAACTGAGTTCAATTTTGTCTGGAAAACGTCTGATTTGTCCATTTTCAACGACAATGGATAGATCAATATACTCTAAACCGATTGGACAATGATGAACAACATACATGAATCGAGTCTTGATAGTTAACATCGCTCATAAACCATGTACTCTTCCATCATGTCCGTTGCTTTATATCGATGAATCACCGTGACCGAAAATTTGAATACAGGCATTGTTTATAATGTTCTCTTTCCTCGAATTATTGAGCCAGATTTCTAGCCTCAAACCTTTCTTCGAAGTGCATCAAATCTCGGAATAAAAGTTTGCTGTAAATCATGCCATTTCTACGAACCATTCGATCTGATCATAACTTTTAGTTTTGATTCGATATGAGAAGAATTTATGAACCGAACCTTGGTATGAATCGTTCATCTATTGGGCGATTACTGTTCTCGTCGCGTGTACGGTGCTTTTAGTTCATGTGCAGTGTATATTTGTAAGAGATGTTCATGTGAACAATCCGGTTGTTGGATAATTATCTCGCATTTTGTGTGGTATGAGCTTAGATAATTTCTGTACCAAATACTTGAATATACGCTTTATGTGATTGTGTCACTGGGTGTGCCATCACAAAACGTAGCCTTTATTGCAGATATTCTATTGTGAGAAAGCAAAGTATTTGACTAGAACTGTAATATTATTCATTCATTTTTCATGTGGACTTTGATTAAGATACTATGCCAAAACATTAATTAAAGGGAATTTGTTATGTCCATGACACTTTCTTTTAAATTATGCATAAATCATACAACCATTCAGCATTTCGCGCATCACAAATATTTCTTTTAAAGTGAAAAGCATATTTGCAGAACAACTTTGTGCCCTCCCCACAATAATACAGCTTTCTTGTGATGTTAGATGTAAGTTTGCTTTCCAAATGCGGTATGAGCTAAACAGATTACTTGAATAGAATTTTACTATAACTATTTCTCTTTCCATGACACTACTTAGCATAATTCTAGTTCCGAATAGTTGATGTCAAGTGAGCATGATATTTGAATAATAGAACAATTCATTATAAATTATGTATCTATCTAATGATCTACGGATAAATCATAGGTCACTTGAGTATGCTGTTCAGTGTGTGGTATTCGAATGAGAGCGTAGTGCAAATTCAGTTACTATACGCTTCTTTGTCTCGTTGTCTAGTTTCTTGGTTTTTTCACGATGAATAACTTATTTGAATATCAGCGTGATACTGAGGATTCACCTGTTGTGTCATATTTCGATCTGCTAGCAGCTGAAGGCAATCTTTGATAAGAGCGCGATA